AGGGAGATATGTTCTCCCGAAGTTTTCCTAAATTCAGCCAATTCTATAGAAAACTCGCTAGAGTTTCCTTTGTTTTTACAAAAATCCCCAATTTGCAAATGTGATCTAAGACATCAAATGTACCTAATATCCAATGGGTGGCACACACAAGGACCAACAATGGCTTGGGGAACTTACAACCCAACTCAGTTTATAGTTATTACACAATTTATATCATACTGCTCACTTGATTAATACTTAATACGTTTCAATCATCCAAGTCCATTTACATGCATTTTCTAGGCATTCACATATCCATAATCCTAAAATAGGCCTAAAGCCCTTCCATCATATTACATTAAGTATCCAAGTGCAATTACAACATATTACAACTTCAATTCCCTGACTTTAAATTACAAATTGAAACATGAACTTTAATTTACAACTTGAAACATGAACTTTAATTTACAACTTGAAACATGAACTTCAAATGACATATACAACTAACTAGACTTAGGCAAAATGACATGAACAAATATGACTATGAAACTCATCCTACATACATATGGAATGTTCACGCCCTAAGTCTAGCCTAGGCCAAATGGCCATCAAAATGCAAAAAGTGCAAGTCCTCCAATGACTCATCCTACGGGCTTCTTGTCCGCCGCTCCCGTGCCACTGTTACCTCTTGAAATAAAGCCCCCAAGACGGGGTGAGATATACGAATATATCTCAGTAACCCAGAGGTTTTGGAGAAACTCCGCCCAATGACTCACTTCGATGCATATAAATAATATAAAATAACCACTTTTCAAAACGGGATAAAGCAAGGGATTTAGAGAAACTGGGGAATATAGGAATACAAAATACGACGAAGCAGGAATGGTAGCTACCAATACCACGCAACGTCCTCGGCATATAATCCTACGGGTCTCATCCAAGGCGTGTTCCAAGAACAACTAACCAAGGTACCCCTCCCATCCGCATACACCCGAGACTTCCTAGCGTGCTCCTATCCGGATCACACACCACGACCCTAGGTCAACTGGAACTCCTTCTCGGAGACCTATCCAGTGGAAGTACGAAACGCCCGAAGGCAAAAACTGTCTACTGGCCAGAGACTCGGTACATAAGTACCCTCATAAATACTACATGCATGCTCATGTTATTCTACACTTCTCATATACATTTCTTATCATCACTTTCAACGGGTATGGTGGAACAAACAAGGGGAACAAGCCCCAGTACCAAGAGGTTACCTCAATGTGTTTCTCCACTTAGCTCCAAGCAATTTATGTTCCAAGCTTGTTACTCAACAGAATGCCCAGAGGACATTCCCAATTACTCAAAACTAATACGAACACATGCAAGTTAACAATTATACAAGCATGATTCAACCACTTACCTCAATCCCACTTGGTCCAGGACCAAGGGCAATCCACCGACTCACGGTTCGGGGTTCAAATCGACGTACGGCAACCTACAATAACCATGTACGAACCGTCAGTACACGACAATTCTATCAAAATGCGAAAAACGTCAAAACCCCCTACACCCTTGTAGGTTCGGCCTTCTTAGGCTTATTTCACAATTTATTTTTCTAAATTTTCTTTCTCATTGTATTATACTTCCTTAGGTTGCCAAAAGGCTACACCAAGTGCCGTTTTTTCATTTTATGTCTTTTAAACAACGTTTTGCATAATATCTTACTCTAGGATCCTTTATGGCATTTAATACTCTCAATTATTTTTCATTGATTCCTCCACTTTCCAACCACCACACAACCCATTTAAATACCATTTAATACATGATACATCATTCAAACAATGTCAACGACACCAATTCCCCCTCTTTTGCCCAATGGCCGAAAATTCAACATGGTGACCTCCAAGGGATTTCCATCAATTCCAATTACTCCACACCTCACACAATCCTATTATATCATCATATAATCATACCACAACTCACCACCAAATCCTAACACATTTTCAAAATTCAAAGTCATGACAACCTCTAAATTTTCTAAGTTACCAAATCATATTTTTTACCAATAAATTTCATTGCATTACTAGCTCTAACACATCATTCTAAGACATTATCATCTAATAAACATTTTCCATTTGAGCTCTCTAACATCACAAATCAACAAGACAAGGTCTAGGATTCATAAATATGATCTACCAAATTAACCATGAAATTGGTGTAGAAACATACTCACAATCAAGGCTTGATACTCCTCCAAGACTTATCCAAGCAATGGAAGGCCAAATGACTCCATGAACATCAAATTTTCCCAAATTTTCGCAGCTGACTTTTGCCTATACCTCCCCAATGAGACGGTTTCAAAGCTTAAGAGTACTACCAATGGCTTTAGAAGGTGTTTTCCATCAAGTTTCAAGACAAAAATTGATGGATTTGGTGGAGAAATGAGTGATTTAGAGAAGGAAGAAAAAGCTTGGGTTTATTTCCATGGGGAAGGGGGGTTCCGCGGCCAAGGAGAGAGAGGGAGGGAAAATGATGAGTGAATAGTGTCATTGTGACACATGTGTTAAATGACCTAAGTGAGGTGGGCCCCACCGCCACCTCACGCGATTTAAAACTAATCCGAATTTTCACTAAACGTCCGTAAATTCACAATCTATTTAGAAACTCTAATTTTTAATATTAGCCATTTTCCTTTAATTATCCTTGATCAGATGAATCCTGAGTTCTCCGGTCGTTCGGAGAAAACGTTGTTTTAAGCTGTTGCGCGCGCCGTTGACACGCTTCCCCAAACTAACTTAATTCCATCAAATTTTATCAGAAATCATATTTCCTAGTTCTATAGACCATTTATAACTCATATTTAAAACCTAGAGCTCAAAACTCAATCGGCACGTTTTACGGTGCAATCGTACCGCGGTATTTTTACCCGGTAAAAACACTATTCACTGAATTTTTTGAAACTTTCCAATCCACTCAATTTTTTGTTCTGAATCCATTTCCAGTGTTATTTTTATCATCTGAGACCTTCTACTCAATTTCCTTCCTAGGGTTGTGTGCATGGCTAATTTACCGTTTTGCCCTTTCTTTGTATTTTGGCCTAATTTTCACTAATCCTTCCTTTTAATTCTCATTTAATATTTTAATATCTAAACTTAGAAATGCGAGGTGTTATATACTACAACGCCATCTCAAGGCCTTTTGCAGCCTCTACCGGTTCCTGAGGGAGCTTATGAAGACCTCACCATGGATTTCATAACTGGCCTTCCATTTTCTAAGGGGTTGTCCACGATTTTTGTTGTCGTTGATCGCTTCACTAAGCATGCTCATTTTGGAGGTCTTCCCTCTTCGTATAATGCATCTTCGGTTGCCAAATTATTTTGTTCCATGGTTGTTAAGCATTATGGTTTTCCCAAAACGATCATTTCTGACAGGGATAGTATATTCCTTAGCAAATTCTGGGTTCATTTATTTCGTCTAAGTGGAACAACCTTGCGCACTAGCTCAGCGTACCACCCTCAAACTGATGGCCAATCTGAGGTGACTAATAGGTATTTGGAGCAGTACCTCAGGGCTTTTTGCAGTGAACAAAATAGCCTTTGGTCTACTTACTTGTGTTGGGCAGAGCTGCACTATAATATGGCTATACACTCATCCATCAAAATGTCCCTATATCAAGCTTTATTTGGTAAGCCCCCAACTATGATTCCTTCTTATCTACTTAATGAAGTTATGGTTGAAGCTGTTGATTCAACTTTGAAGCATCGTGATGAATTACTTGCTAGTCTGAAGAGGAATTTACATCAAGCTAGGAATTAGATGAAGGTATGTGCTGATAAGCATCGTCACGAACGAACATTTAAGGAAGGTGATTTGGTTTTGGTGAAGCTGCAACCTTACCGTCAAATCTCGGTTGCTCGAAGAGGCTGTCATAAACTTTCCAAACGCTATTTTGGACCCTTTCCCATCAAACATGTCATCAGTCCTGTTGCTTATCAGGTGACTTTGCCGGAGAGTTCTCGTATTCATCCCTCATTCCACGTTTCAGTTCTCAAGGCTTTTTCTGGAACTCCTCCTCCACATCTCCCTTCTCTACTAGACACCAGTATTAACAATCGTCTAGTGCAGCAACCCATTGCGTTGCTCATGTCTCGAACCCATTCAGTGGCAGGCCAATCTAGAAAGGAATTTCTGGTGCAGTGGTCATATTCCTTACCAGAGGATGCTTCTTGGGAACCTGCTTCAGAGCTTGCTAGAGTGTACCCTCATTTGGACCTTGAGGACAAGGTCCCATTTGAAGGGGGAGCAGATGATGCAGTAACAACAAGTAAGGAAAAGTTAGCGGTGGATGAGACAAGACCACAGAGACAAAGAAGGATCCCTTCGTGGCTTCGTGACTACACGTAGCATTAGGCAAGAGTGATTACACATAGCATTAGATATAAGAGCCATGTGGCCAGTTAGTGTTAGTAGGTAATCTTAGGTGGGCTATTACAAGTAGGCCTGTGTATAAATACTTTTGGGATTCATTGTAAAGAGACTATTGAATAATAAAGTGAATTGTTTTTTTCTGGTTTCCCTTCCTTTCAGACATATCACCCAACAACTAGCCCCTCCCTAACTTGACCACTACTTTCTTTAATCCAAATATTACACCATGTATTTGGTTACAGTAATATTAGTGTTTGATATTTGTGCCAATTCTTAGTGAATACGAATGTAACCAAATATTCCATATGCAAAATGAGGAGAGTTAGATTTACAAATTTATTGTTTACAAACTCAACTATGTATTTTGAGGAGTATACACTTTGGTGTTTGTATTCCCCAAAATACATAGTTGAGTTTGTAAATAAAAAGTTTATAAATATAACATTTTCCCTGCAAAATTGCTAAAGAGTTTTAATAATAATCAGCATTAGAAAGACCTTTTTTATAAATCTACAATTCCATCAACAAGTTAGAATTATAGGCAAAACCCAAAATCGTCTCAGTTTCTTCTCAATCAAATGTACCAAATCACTAGCAAAACACTATTGCTAGAGCACAACCAAAGCCGTTGAACGATCAAAGCTACCCCTTAGCACTCTGGTTCTACCCATGTTCTTCTTTTTCTTCTTCATAACACCCTCAGCTTCCATTTTACTCCCAAATGGAATAGCAGTAGGTGCAGGTATTTGATCCACATTATCCTTACTAGCTCCACCATTAACAAGTATCCTTGTAATCCCAACATAGTGCAATGACTCTGCTATTTGCAATGCAGTCACACCCTTGCTTGTTCTGGCTTCAACATCTGCACCTTTCTTCACCAAAAACTCTGTCACATCTGCATGGCCTGACTCAGCTGCACAGTGCAATGCTGTATAACCATCTTCATCCTTTGCATCCACATCGATCCCTTTCTCAACTAGAATCCGAACTGCATCTATTATACCTTTGAATGAGGCTCTATGCAGTGCTGTCCAACCATGTTGGTCCCTTCCATTGATGGTTGCTCCTCTCTCAAGTAGCCTCTGGATTGTCCTCACTTCCCCTTTTCTCGCAGCCACGCACAAGTTGTCTCCCAAACGAAGCGCGTCGAAGAGGCGTCCATGGCCGTTTTCTGCTGCAAGATCGTATGCTGTCTTACCTAGTGCATTCCTCACATCTTTGTTTGCACCCTTTTGCAGCAAGAGTTTGACCATGTTCTCATCTCCTATGGCTGCTGCTATGTGCAGAGGAGTGTCACCTGTTGGATATGATATGAATATGTTAGAGATATAATAAAATCATTTGTTAACCTTCACGAAACTGAGTTTGGATGAGCTTTCACGTTATTTAACATAATCTGGTCATGTGATACAATCTCAGCCTTTTATGGATAGAACAACAGTTATCTTTATGTCACACCTAATCCAACACTTTTTATCTCTCATATCTCATTACTGTTGATTTGTCTATATACGGTTCATTTAACCTGACCTAGTCATGTTAAATAACACACGAGTGGATTTATTCCCAATAAAGTAGTTTTATTCATTAAATTGGTGTCACCTGTTAGATATATCAAAAATATGCTAGAAATTATAAAATTATTCTTATGTGTGCATAAAACTTAAGTTTTAGAGAGTGTTATTCGTGCTAGAAATATAAGCATAAAAATCATTTTCGTGTCTTTATCTAATAATTTCAGTTTTTGGAAGAATTGATTCATGACATAATATCAGTAATGTGTTAGAGATATAAATATAAAAACTATCATGATAGGACAATTAGTGACAATCACCTTCTCTGGTGTTTCCAACATCTGTTCTTGCACCATTTGCAAGTAGAAGCCTAGCACAGTCTCTTCTACGCTCTTCAACAGCAAGGTGCAAGGCTGTGTTACCATCTTTTGTGAGTGCATCCACTTTGGCACCTTTGAGTAAGAGAAGCCTCAGAACCTCCATGTGTCCTCCTCTAGCTGCATTGTGGATTGGCCCAAACATAGATGATTCTGATCGTTGTGTGCTGGCCCTGTGAGCCAAAAGAAGCTCAACAATTAAGGCTTCACCAGAGGAAGATGCAGCCTCAAGTGGGGTTGAGCCAGAACGGCTTGGAGTTTCTATATCAGGCTCAAATTCTAGGAGTAATTGAACAAGATCAGCTCTACATTTTGAAATGGCCAAGTGAAGTAAAGTTTGGCCTTGTGGGTCTGTGGAATCCACAGCTTTCCATGAAGGGTCACTTCTTTCAAGTACCTCTCTTATGTCATCCATTGAACCATCTGCAACCAAATGAGCCAGAATCTGCGACCCCACAAACATGACTTTGATGCCACTGTCAATGAAGACTTGTTTTTTTTTTGTGGTGAACCAGTCACTTGGAACAGCATCATACATGGAGGAAGGTTCTTTGATGGTAGCACCAGGAACAAGAACACTATGCAAGAGGAAAGAATCATCTGAGTGAGGAAAAGAGTAAGGGAGATTAGAGCCTGGTGGGAGATTATAGATGATCTCTATGGTGAGTGTTGCCAAAGGGGATATGATCCCTGAATAGGGCTTCACTGTATAACGGGTTTTGATCAATGGATGAAGCCTAAATGCCACTGGCATAGTGTACATGACATTGCTTAAGGTGATTCTGCCATAGCATTTTTGCCCTGGTTCAACTCTTATTAGGACTATGTTTGATGGGTCTAACTTTATGAGCCTGTCCATGTTTCTGATGTAGGGTTAGTCTTTGTTGTTTCACAACCACTTTTTGTGTATGGCTTATGCTTATGGTAGATTGTTGGTGGTTTTGGATGGAAAAAAATAAGCAAAAGCAAAAGCCGTGAGGAGATGAGAAACTGAAAAGTAAGTGATGGTGAAGGTTTTGTAGCTATATTTTTTAATTTTTAGGTAGAGTGCAAGAAAGGGTGAACGAGGGGCCGGCTCTATCTAGAATATGCCAAATGGTGGTGAAAAGAACAATGATGACTTGATCAATAATTTTCCTGTTCCTTCTGCTGCGCATCACTTTCAATGTTTTAGTTTATATTTTTCAAGAAAGGGCCAATTTTGTCGTTCAATAATCTAAAGTTTGGTGATAATATTATATAGCTCAATTGGGCCATAAGAAAGTATAAAACTTTTAAGTCTTCTAAGATGCTTGCTCTTTCTCTTTTTCTTTCCTATGTATTCCCGGATGGTCTTATTTGAAAATAAAATCATTCGTGTCTTGGTTTGATTAAGTACAAGAAGGAATATTATTTGGTTTGGCAATTTGGGAAAAAAAATCCTGAGTGACCAACAAGAAACATGAACATTTTATATTCAAGTCTGAGTATGCAAGGTAGAGGAGGCTTGGGTACATTCGTTTACTTGGCCAACTATAGTGACACATAAATTCTGTGATCTTGCTTAGTTTATGGGCCCGGAAGCCCAAATTCGATCCCTTGTAATTATTATTGGGTATAACTCATGCTTTGCAATCTGACGAGACATAGAGAAAGTCAACAAGGGTGTGAGGGCAGCACCGTGAAACTGCGTTGGCCTAGTACTGTTGTGGGCTTCGAGTTTATTTTATTTTTCTCTTTTTTAATAGTTTAGGTTTGGACTCATGAATAACTACTGTTAGTCTATTTATATTTTTTTTTGTAAATATAGTGCTTTGTAAGGAGTAATATAGTAAAATATTCCCACGTTGGATTAACCTGGTGTATGATTGTCTTCATTCTTTCTTTTTGTTCGGCGACTGTGTGTGTGATTTTTTTGTTCCAATAATTATTTGCACGGTTCAATTGTAAAGAGCACAGAGCTAGAGCCTAATACCCTTCTTCTCTCTACTCTGTTTTTAACAATTCAAACTTGCTGCAAGCATTTGGAACTGCACAGCTACTTCCTACAGTTCAAGATGAAGACCAGTTCTTATTTTGGTTTAAGACAATGTTTATCTGTTCTACTGCCATTGTTTGCTGTTATTCTTTGTCAAATTATGTTGCCTACACCTGTGGCAAAACTAGTAGTAAGAAGGATAGATATACATAACTATAACGGAGAGGGTTATATTTACAAATTTTTTGTTTACAAACTACATTATATATTTTTGGAAGTACACTAGGTTATAATATGTACTTCCGGGAATACACAGTGTAATTTGTAAAAGTTTGTAAATGAATCGTTCCCCAACTATAATAGTCACAATAATTTTGCATTTAGTACAAGAAAGTTGATCTGAATATAATAAAAAAGTTTTACAATCTATATGGAGTCACCTAAATTCAGATGAAGCCACTTGCTTTTTTGTGCATAGTTGTAACCAAAAATTTACTATATATCATTTCTCTAACAAGAACATCATAAAAAAATAAAAATAAAATCAATAACTACAAAGTGCTTCACAAAACTCTAAAACAAGGAAGAAGCTATCCCCGTTAATGTTCCCCCCAAACAACTTGTATTTACTATTTCTTTTCATCTAACTATCACATTGGATTCTTTATCGATGATGTGATTTCTTTTGTTGTACAATATATTCTTTTTTCTTTTTTCTTTTTTGTAAATAAAAGTTTAAGTGAGATTAGACACCGGTATCCCACTAGGGTCAGGGAAGACCTCTCAATCACTTTGAGGATTTCTGGGAGGGATTACATATCACCCACCAACAAAGTCCTCACATCGGCCAGCGGAATTTGAACCCACGCCCTTGAGGAATGTGGACCAAACCCTTAGCCAGCTGTGCCCTCTTTGTTAGCTACAATATATTCTTTAAACAAAGGGTTGACCGGTTGAGTATATGACTTAATAAAATGATGAAGGGTTCAAATTGTAGGGAACATATTGCATTTTATGTTTACAAATAAACATCATATTTGATATAATTCGCTTTTCCTTTTTTCTCCTTAAACAAATGTTAGTTCCATAAAGTCTCACAACTATAATTTAGTCACCGAAGCAAAGTAATAATTAAAAATGTTTAGTTGCTAAGCCATTAAAATTGATATAGTAGTGAGAGATTTTGCTAGTTTGAGTTCAAATCTCATAATCACTTTTGTCTTAAAAAAGAAGAAGAGAAACTTACCCACTCATTTAATGTTTTGGAAGAGTTTTGTAAAAAAAATAATTGTGTATACATCATTTACTTATTTATTTATAGGGAATAAATAAGTACAAGAGAAAAAGTTATCAGAAACATTAATACCTTATTTATATGTTAATTGTTCCTTGATGTTCGGTAAGTAGTACTTTCTTATACTATAAGTTCATAACGCTTGAATAAAAATATATTGAGATTCAAATTAACCGCGTACATATAGGGTTTAAAAGAAATAATAGATAATTATTGCAATTATAATGGCAATAAAGTTTCTATTTGAGTTTGAGTTTACATAAAAAATTAAATAGAATTACTCTTGCCCAGTGATTGTCGTCGGTTGATGTGGTTAACAGCAACTGTTTGAATTCCAAAGTCGAAATTCCCGGATTCAAAATGTGACTTCTGAATTACTAAAAATAAAAATGTGACTAGTATGAATTCAATATAATTGTATATATACACGTATGCTAACATTAGTCCTTGAAACATTTCTGACTCCAAAGCAAGAGACATGCATGAAAGCATGTATTCAATTGCCGGCATGGATGGAGCCATCTCTTAACAAATTTGTTAAGAGATCTCAAATCGATATTTTGTGAATTAGCAAATAGAAAGGTTCAGTTTTATGGCAATTGTTTCTTTGCTAGATTTCTTTATAACATTTTCTCTGGCTATCAATACCCACTTCGTATAATCTATTAACCCGCAAAAATATTGCTATCCCTTCATGTTTCTGAAGGGGTTAAGGTCCTTAAATTAAAGACTTTTCATGTATTCAATAAGTTAGATGCATCAGTGAAGTGGAACAGAAAATTATATAATCTCTCCTGTTGTTGGTTAGAGAAATATAATATAAAATAATTGAAAACTCATCACTTGTTAATTTGAGTTGGTGGGTGATGTTATTGGCTCATATAAGGCTGATACCTAAAAGCACAATAAAGGGCTGCACAAAAGAAAAATTACACAAATCATGAAAGAATTAATGACAATCCTATCACAACAGCTAGACAGTTGAATGTTGGGTCCCTGAACATGTCATTAAAGATCCAATATAAATGTTGGGTCCCTGAACATGTCATTAAAGGTCCAATACTTTAATACTCATAGATAAATTTTATAAATAAAAAGTAAAGCCTATAGATATGACTAATATGTCTCTATTACTCTAATATTGTCACTGTGAACACACTATACCCTTTGACAAATGTCGTCATTTATACTTGTGTGTAGTGATCCAACATCTTAGAGTTATCTTATTCATAAATATCTTAGAGAGAGTACCATATCCAAGATAAATTCACTAATTTTAAACTAGACATTGGTGTCATTTAGACAAAACATGTGAGATAGTTGTTTATTATTACTTTAGAGCCAAGGTAACCACTAGATAGAACAAAAATAAAATGAATATGTTCAATATCCATGCTTCAAATTCAAAAGACTTTTGGCTGAAAAGTTAGCTGTAAAGACACTTTAATTAAAGTCCTCCCTAGTGATGCAAGCCATTGTTACCCATTTTTTAAACTTGGAAGGACCACATAAACTTGACCATAACTGACAACGGGCTTTGGAAGCAATAGTACCACATGTGAAAGGGTTTAACCTTGACTTTTATCGATAGTCATTGCAAAAGAAAAAACCGAAGGAATTTAGTCATCTTAGGAATCTTATTGGCAAGCTGGTATTGGATTGAACCAAAGTCATTTGAGGTATAAAAACCATGTGCTCCGTTACTAAAAAGAATCTTGCAGCGAAGGACTTGACTTCCAAATCTTGTAATTTGAAGTCTTGTACCATGCAAAACCCTCTTGGTTGGTCAATATTCTTAATTAGAATAACTGGAACACCAATCTTGAATTTTAATCAATGGTTTTGAAGGGTAGAGCATGCGGTGTTATTTAGGAATTCTGTTGAATATATTTTTGCAGTCACTTCAGAATTTGAAGGGCAGAACATGCGGTGTTTTTTAGGAATTCTGTTGAATATATTTTTGCAGTGACTTTAAAATTTGAATTTCTTTGCACATGCTATCTGAGCTCAAATATACTTTCTCTTTTTTAGGAATCAATGATAACAAGGAATGAAAACTCTTATAGAGAGATATAGGATAAAATCATTGATGGGTCTTCGAACAACTTGAGCTTTTATATGAAATGGTTGTTTACATGATATTAGAACCTCCGTGATCATAAGGTCGCAAGTTTGATCCTTAACGCTCCACTTTCTAGTGAAATTAAGCCAGGACAGATACATGCGCGATGTATTGTACATGCTTGCCTTCTTATCTCATTAGGGCAAATAAATTTCATTAACTCTTAAGAATGGATCTTTTATATCTTTAAGGGACTGTTTGGTAGATGTGTTTTTTTTTTAGAATCCTAGAAAAGCTTATTTGGAATTGTAATATATCTATGTTTGGTAGAGGAAATCTAAAATTTTCCCATTATTCCCAAACGCCCAGCATTTTCATTGTAGTACAAATTTGTGGTCAAAATACTATCAACAAATACTACAAAATAGATGATATTTCCACAATCCGGTTTCTTGGAAAAATTTATTTGATTTTTTACTATCAAAAGTAGCGCTCAACAAAATTTGAAGTGTTGAAAAAATAGAGACAGAAAGACAAGGAGCTCAT